CTCGTCTCCTTGTCGAGACTGCCGGCTTGGAGCTGGAAGAGGGCTTTCCCTTTGTTCGACGATTTGTTCGACGATTTGACGGTGAGCGTGTGATTGAATGGGCTTTGACCTGGACCGGGCCGTGTCCACGGTGCTTCTTAAAGGCCAGGCTGCTCGGTCGCTTTGTAGTAATGGGCTGACAGCCTCCCGCCTCTGGCGCCCGGGGTCTTGGTCCGGCCCACATTGTTTTCTTCAGTTTTTTTATTTTCTTTTTTCCTTCTTTTTTTTGTTTCATCACCGGTTTTTCGCGTTTTCTTCTGTCTAAACCGTTTTTTTTCATGATTTCTTGGTTTTCCTTTGTCTCTTAAACAGTTTTTTGGGTTTTATGCCAGTTTTTCACCGGTTTTCTCTGCTTTTTTTTATTTTTTCTAGACATGTCTACTTCTACAAAATGTACATTTTTACTGTACATGTGGAACATTATTTTTTATCGCATTGACTATTTTTAAATACATGGTGTATATTTTTTTACAATACATGTTAAACCTTTTTCAAAAATATATTCAACATTTTTTAATAGCAGTAAACATTGTTTAAATTATACAACCACTTTTCCCTCTTTCCTTTTTTTTCAACACATGTCTACATTTTCCCTATACATCAGGAATGTTTTCTTGTACATTTTTAACATACATGACTCACATTTTTGCAAATAACTTTTATCTCTACTTTTCATACACATTGTACATTTTTATACATATATACAACATTTTTATACACTTTCAACATTTTTCAAATACATTATTCCCATTTTTTCCAAACACTTGTTTTTTCATAATTTTTTCGAATAGAACATCTTCCATATATAGTTTGATTTTCCAAAAAAATAAGATTTTTTTATATTGTACAAACATTCTTACAAAATTTCATGAACCTAATTTTGAACATGTGAACATTTTTTAAGATCTAACCTACTTTTTTTAATATCACTAAACATTTTTTATTTAAACAAAAAAATAGATTGTACAAACATGTTTTGAAAATGTCATATACATTTATTTTAAATGCTTGAACATCTTTTAAATTTCACAAAAAAAATAGTGCTATCAACGTTTATTTTTTCATAGAATTCAAAATAGATTGATTAAAATAGTGCTATCAAACTTTTTTTTAAATGTCACAAAAATAGTGCTATGGACCTACTTTTTGCATTGCATTAACAATTTTCAAATAGATGGTTTCTTGTTTATTTACTTAGTTTTATGTTTTGGAATAAATGTATTTACAATATTTTAGAAAATAAGAAATAAAACATAAAACAAATGAATGAAAAAACAGGAAAAAATGAACTAACCTGCATGCTACCTGGGCTGGCTAAGTTATAGCGGTGCCTAACGCGAGCGGACGCTCGATCTTGCAATAAGCAAGGAGACGATGAGATCTTACCTCCCTTCTCTCCGGCGGGGCCGGGATCCGATCTCGGGCCGCCGTGGGGGTAGCGCAGTCTGCTTCCCCGGTCTTGGAACGATCTTCTACCGCGCAAGGGTTAGGGTTTTACTCCGTGGCGATCGGTTTTTTCCGCCGACGGCACGCGATGGCAAACCATGGAAGTTCTTCGGCGTCTGATTGTAAAGGAAAAGGCAACCTGGAGGAGATGATGCAGGAGTTGGCCCTCAAAGAAGATGATCTTGATGATGTGATATTTGAGGATGATGATGCCCCAGCGGAGGAGAAACTCCGGTGGATGATCCTAGCCCGAGTTCACATGGACAAAGGGTTTAGTAACTACTAGTTCTTCCGCAACATGCGATCGGCATGGGACTTAGCCAGGCCAGTCAAGATCAAAACCTTGGAGGAAAACTTGTTCCAGATGCAATTTGATTGCTTGGGGGATTGGGAACGTGTCACACAGGGCGGACATTGGCATTTCCGGGGCAATCCAGTTGTTATCGCCCCATATGATGGTTACACACAGCCCTCCTCGATCGAGCTCTATACTATTGAGATCTGGGCGCGGATCATCGAGCTCCATATTGCTTATCATGGGAAAGTGAAGGCTTTAGCCTCAAAGATTGGAGAGTTTGTTGATTCAGAACCGTCCTCCTTTGACTTTGAAGGAAACTTCTATAGGGTCAGGGTCAGGCTTGATGTTCGGAACCCGCTGAAGAAAGCCATATCTCTGATCTGTGGTGGTGAGAGGGAGATCTTCGCTGTCAAGTACGAACGTTTGCCTGATTGGTGCCAGGTATGTGCTATGATGGGCCATGAATTCAAAGAACATGGTGATGGGGTGCATCCTTCTTCGGCCCTGGTTTTCAAAAATGTGCGAGCTCCTGCGACAACTGCCTGGGGCACACGTCGTCGGAACAGAAATGAGAAGGAACAAAATAGGGACGAGCCGGTTGCGCCCTTCTCGGAGTCAAGCCATCAGGGTAGTCAGAATCAACAGGGGATGGATGTGGAGGTGACTGACGCTAACAGGAAGCGCCCGTCGGACCAAGTTGCGGGCTTGTCGGTTCCCAAGGCTGCTTTGGGGCTGGAGCTGGTAGTGGCGGCAAAGGCAGATGGGGGGATGGTGCCAGTCAACCCTCCTCCCAAACAGGATCCTAAGCGGTCCAAACTCATGGGACAACTTGACAAAGGAGGAAATTTGACAGAGAAGACTGGTACAATCATAGTGAAGAAGACCCCCAATGGGGGGAAAGGCTCGGATGCGAGATCGGCGGCCTCCGCAACGGAGGACCGCCGAACGCAATGAATCTGTTAAGCTGGAACTAACGGGGGATTGGCAACGCCCCGACAGTTCAAGAGCTTCGCGAATTCGCGAATAAGTTTGCCCCTAGAGTACTTTGTATAGTTGAAACCCAAATTAGTGGGGAGAGAGCGGAAAATTTAAAAAGTACTTTAGGCTATGATAATTCCTTTGTTGTTGATGCCTCTGGTAGAAGTGGAGGATTAGCTATTTTTTGGAATGATGAAATAAAGAATGAGATTTTGGGTTACTCAAAGTATCATAATGATTGTAATATTACTGGTGTGGGTGATCAACCTTGGAGGCTTTCGTGTTTCTATGGTGAAGCACAGACCCATCTTCGTAATCACACTTGGACCACCATGAAGAACCTGTCCACCCTCCATGATCTTCCATGGGTTTGTATAGGGGATTTCAACGAAGTGTTGAGGCATGATGAACATGAAGGAATTGGTTCAACGAGCCAATCACAAATACAAGGATTCAGAGATGCGGTTGACGTATGTGGCTTGATTGATCTTGGTTTCAAGGGAACTAAGTGGACCTATGAGAAGAAAGTCACGGGAGGATCGTATACCCGTGTAAGACTAGACAAGGCCCTTGGCTCGGTTGACTAGTGTGGGCTGTTCCCAACTGCGGTTGTGGAACACGTAACGGTTCCAACCTCTGATCACTCGGCTATCCTCGTACAGCTAGCGCGAGCAAACGGGGGCACCAAGAAAACAAAACAGTTCCGGTATGAGGTGATGTGGGAAACACACTCTAACCTGAAACCAACAGTTGAGGCTGCATGGGAGGCCAACGGTCACTATCAAACGGTTGTGAAGTCCGCACGAATCTTGAAGCGCTGGCCAGGAACTTGGGCGTGTGGGCACAGACCACTTTTGCCAGTGTAAGGGGAGAAATTAGGAGTTTAAAGAAGGAATTGGATCGCCTACGAAGTGATGTCAGTCGGGTGGGTCCGTCTCATGCAGAAATCAAAATTAATGATCGCTTGATCGAACTTTACTTGCACGAGGAATTGATGTGGAGACAACGTTCTCGCGTTGAATGGCTCTTTGCATGGGACCGAAACTCCCACTTTTTTCATATGGGGGCTTCCATGAGGAGGAGGAAGAACTTGATAAAGGCTTTGGAAAAACCGGATGGGCAAGTAACCTCGGAGTTTACGGAGATGCAACAAATGGCACTTGATTTTTACAGGCAACTCTATACTTCGGAGGGAGTACAGGGCGTGGAAGATGTTCTTCAGCACGTGCCCGTGAAGGTTACACCGGAGATGAATGCAACGCTCCTGGCCCTGTTTGAGGCGAAGGAAGTTAAAACCGCTCTATTTTAGATGTTTCCTACGAAAGCTCCAGGCCCTGACGGCTTCCCATCTCATTTTTTCAGAGGCATTGGGATATTTGTGGAGAAACAGTGACTACGGCAGTGTTGGCTATTGTGAAAGGAGAAGAGAGCCCGACATGTTTGAATGACATGTTGCTGGTTCTCATCCCAAAGGTATCAAATACAACTTTATTATCCCAGTTTCGTCCTATTAGCCTGTGTAATGTGTTCTACAAGATTGCTTCGAAGGTGCTAGCAAACAGGCTAAAATTGATCCCGCCTGACATAATACCAGAGGAGCAGTCCGCTTTTGTGCCAGGGAGGCTAATAACTGATAACATCATATCAACCTACGAATGTCTGCACTTCATGAAGAGGAATAGAGCAAAAAATAACAGATTTGCAGCTTTGAAGCTTGACATGATGAAAGCATATGACCGTGTGGAGTGGTCTTATTTGAAGTCTATCATGGAGAAACTGGGTTTTGCAGCACCTTGGGTTTCAGTCGTGATGAATATGGTGAGCTCAGTCTCTTTTTCTGTTATGTTTAATGGTGTGAGGTCAGAATCTTTCCAACCT